GAGGTTGGGTGGGTTGGTGAGGAGCTGGGGAGGAGGGGAGGGTGAGAGAGCTGGAAGTGACATGTGAAGCAAGTTTGTTTCTAATTTAAATGTTAAAAAGATAAAAAATAAATATACATATACTTCATTTTGTCTTTAGACCTGATTTTTCAAAATATGCAGAATATACATTTTGTTATTTAGGAAGAATCAGGAACACTCTCATGATGCCATAATATGAAGTCTGACAAACATCTTTGAAACTCAAAAGACCACAAGAATATTCAATTAGTGTAAGTAAAGTCTGTAAAAAGATTATCAAGCTGTGGCCTCTTCAGGCACACAATGTTTTCTCTGTCATTATGGAAAACATTAAAATAAATCAAACTCCAAAGATAACAAAAATTATTATAAGGTAAAACCTTGAATTAAATTTTTAAAAAATTTCTAGTCCAAAGAAGCTGTTGTACAAAAAAAATTACTTCAAGCGGCAAAAAATCAATAATATTGTTTCAATAAATATGTAACAGTTTTGTTTCTAAGGCAGCTTGTGCCTTTGTTTCTGTTTGCCCTATATATTTGCTTGGCAGAATCTTTCTCCCGGAGATCCCAGAAGAAAAGCCTCTGAATTTCTGCTTCATTTAGCATAGGCATCATGTCTCACATCTGAAAGGGAGCAATGCAACTGGAGAGAAGGCAGTAAAAGAGGAATGTGTGTTGGTGGAGAATTAACACATGGGCCATTTCAATATGTCTAGTGATTCTAGATCTGGAGTAGAGATTTTGAGAAATGTTTGTTGGTAACTAAGAAAAGAAATACATTTTTGATAATTCAAATTATGAAAACTATTTCACTATTCTACTGATAAGAAATATGTATTCAGATGTTATTTCTGGAAGTACACATTCATGACTTTTCTGGAGAATCCCTGACCAAGCTTTCTGCAAAATCTAACCATTCTTGCCTCTTACCTATATGGGATGGTTTGAAGGAGATGTGCCCTACATGTGTTGGGCATTTGAATACATGAGGATGGGCTGGGTGGTATGGCTGGAAGAAACAGGAAAGCCATCAAAGCCAGCAAGGCCAGGCTTAGACCAAAAGCCATGCCCCACAGCCAAAGCATCTGTGTTGTTGGGGAGAAATCTGTTATCTCAGATTCAGTGTCTGTAAATCTGTATCTTGCCTCTCTTGCCTCTCCCTCCTGAGACTTCTGGATTATGTCACAGTTGTCCATGTCGATAAGTAATGGAATAAAATTAAACCCAGAGAATCTTGTGGACTGTTTCATTGTGAACGATGAGACAAGAGGAGCTGAAGCCCTCAGAGTCTGCTGGGTGGCATTACTGGTATTATGTAAAATAATACCATGTTATACATACACTGTTTTTTAAAAGAGAGTGCATCATAATATGTAAGATTACCAATCCTAATGCTTCATCTTTCCATCATTATCTTAATGAGCTCAGGGCTTGAGCTGAACTTTATTGGGAATATGTGTATATTTTATAAAAATAAACAAAGCACGTGGGAAGATTATCAGAAAGCATTGGAAGGCACTTTGGAATGATTGAGAACGGACATGAAGAAAAGGCTGGGGGATAACCTTGGGCAGGTACTTCTGCACTTAGACTTTGGAATGAATTTAATGATTTTCTTTGAAAAATATGCCAGCCTGTTATTACAGTTACTCCTCCAAGCCAAGCAAATCACCCTCCTCCTTACAAATGCACTTCGTTCAATGACTTTTAGAAACACAGTTTGTTAAATGTCAAAAAAGGTGCAAATAGGAAAAATCAACATAGTAGAGGAGGAATATATCAAAAACAGCAAGAGTATTTATAAACAGAACCCATAGATTAGGGGCCCTATTTCTCTGCACAGTTGAATCAGCTTCTAGTACTTGAAAACAGGAAGAATACACCTATAAATTCTAAAATTTGCAGGCAAACTGATGGCACTAGAAGAAACCATCTTGAGTGAGGTAACCCAGTCACAAAGAGACAAGCATGGTATATACTCTCTTATATATGGATTTTAGACATAGATCTGGGAGTACCAGCCTACAATCCCACAGCCAGAGCGTCTGGGAAACAGAACCTTCATTCAATGCCTGATGGAAGCAGAGGCACTGCCCTAGCTAAACCCTGAGCTGAACTCAAGGAACCCAGTGACACTGAGGGAGGACTGGTTTAACTCCCAGAAGCAGCTGACCTGACAAGGGTTAGCTCTTGAATCCCAGACTGATGCCTGGGAATCCAGCATGAGACTGATCAAGACCCCCTGAATGTGGGTGTCAGTGAGGAGGCCTAGGTAATCTATTAAGCCTTGGATAGTAGATCAGTATTTATCCCGGGTATACAAATGGACTTTGGGTACCCTTCCAACAATGAGAGATGCACTCTTTCCCTGGACTCTCAGGGGACACTCTGGACTCTTGGGGGAGGGTCTAGGCCCTGCCCTGGACGAAATGACAGACTATGGACACCCCCATGGAGAGCCTCACCCTCCCTGGGGAAATGAGGGGATATTGGAGGGGTTGGTGGGATGGCGTGGGAGGAGAGGAGGGAAAGGGAGAGGGACCTGGAATTGACATGTGAAGCAACCTTGTTTCTAATTTAAATTTAAATTAAAAAAAAACTTGGGAAGTGTAAATTGGCTTATACCGGACAGTAATTGGTGAATATGAAACATCCATAAAGTCTGTTGTATTTATTTCATGATAAGTATTGGTCTAAAGTATTTGATTATTTGAGTGTAGATAACAAGTATACCAGACATACCATTCATTTTATATTTTCTTCCCTTTGATTTGCATTTTCCCCCAAATAGTTTTATTTATCTAAAGTTCTTCAGGTTCCAGCATGTTTATGAGTAAGGCACAACATGTTTTAATAGGCCCCTGCCTCCTCCACACACAGTCACCAACATGTTCACCCGGCTGGTCTGCTTGTCACAACTGGCAAGTCACAAAGGCACATCATTGTCACCCTGAGTCCACAGTGTACCTTAGGGTTCACATTTTGTGCTGTAAATTCTGAGAGTTTGGAAGAATGGCATGTGTCCACCATTACAGTGTTCACATGGGGCACTTTCAAAGCCCTGAAATTGCCTTGTGTTATTTCTATTCAACATTATATCACCTACCCACAGATTTTCAGTTTATAAAGCAATGTGTTCCTGGATTGCTTCTTAATTTGTACTGCACTTTGGAATTAAGAACTTTGAATCATTGTTGGAATGTAGATTGTAAGAGAAGGGTTTGTAACTTATCTGGGCAGCTACTTTACATAGCTAGAAATAATTGATCATTTTTTTCTTCCTCCAGGACAAAACCATCCATAAAGAAATCATGATTCAGTAAATATATCTTTACCTCCCAACCTTAATACATGCCAATATCCACTTTTAGGTACTGCATTAGTACCTAAGAGAGGCTTACAACTTCAATGGGAGTAAGTCAGAATTGGCATGTTTTATTTAGTTCTTGATAAGAAAAGGATACCTGATTCACGATGACATCCCACAAAAGACAACAGTCCACATAACTAGCGATCCCTCCATTAATGTGATAGGCTCAATTATGACATCACATTAAAGATCATCTGATTAATCTTCAAGTAAGTAGGATATTAGTAGTAATGTCTTAATTTCAGTTTCTTTGTTTTTCTTTTTGTATGTGAGAGCCAATACTTCTAAAATATAAGTGTCCGTGAATGTATCAAATGCATAGAAATAATCCACATGTGCCCCAAGTGAAATATTTACTTTTTAATTTTTATTTATTTATTTATTTTAGACCATGCAAAATGCCTAAGTCCTAATTACAATATTTGAAGCCTTTCAGAGTAGAGGAATAAGGTGTAAAAATACCCATACATTAAAAATCTTCAACAGGAAAATATACACAGTTTATTTCAATAAGTCAGATTTGAACATTTCTTCTTGTGGACTGTAGAGCCTTTGTTGAATTGGGGGAAGGTGGTGGAGAGGGAGAGGAGGGGAGGAAGGGCCAGCTGTGATTTGTATATAAAATGAATAAGAAATATTTTTTAAAAACTTGAATTGGGATCCCAACTGGCTTTCATTGCTTTGACCTTGGGAATGATAATTAACCTTGTTGTGCTCTCCTCTACTTAATGGGACAAATGGGACTGCTGTTAATCACTTATAATATCTATTGTGAAGGAAAGGAAGGTAACCTCAATGAAAAATAAACACACTTCATTGTGACAGGACTTTTGTTTCTGGTATTACTTCAGGGTGGTTGCTAGAGGCTTGTTATATTCATAAGGATACAGAGTCATAGACTCAGTGTTTGCCCATTTCATTACTCTAGAAACTGAGCCTAGAAGAACCTGCTCTCCCCAATCTATGGTCTTGCTTAGACTTCTGGCTGTCCGGGCATGATTTCCAGCTATGTAGGAATTGTTTTTAACAGGGTCTTGTGACTTAATTGAACTTTTGGGTCTGGAGAACAGCAATGAAGACTTGGAATAAGGATTGGAATGGGAAGTTACCTTGATGGATGGAATCAGGTTGAATGATTGTCATTAGCAAACTCACCAGTGGGTCTATACTTCATGAAAATGCAGTAGAAACCAAGCCTGATTCTAAGATTTGCAACACGAAGTTCTGCCTAAGTAAAGGTTTTACCACCTGTCTAATGATATTGAAATATCTCCAAATACCTGAAAGCCCTTTAATCTGCAAAAAGGCAGGAGGAGGACACTGAAGGGATGGAACATAGGGGTTCATGATATTGAAATATCTCTTAATACCTCAGAGCCTATTAAGTTGGAATGAAGGCAGGGCACTGAAGGGGTAGAACATGGGGGTTAGATGTGACAATATATAAGAGGCCGGAGACATACTGTGGTTTGCATTCACAGCTGAGCCATCAATCAGTAAGTCTAGAACATCAGGGTCAAAATATTCAGCTGTGTGTCCCAGGGGCTCATGGGTACTGGGATGATGACTTGGCACTGCAATCCCCTGGGCCCCAAACTCCACAACCCACCTGGATTCCTGGGAGTGTCTCTTGGCAGGCAGGGCAGCAGAGAAGCAGGTAGGAGAGTTTGGTTCAACTACCCACATGGCTGATGGAGAGGACCACACCCACCATAAAGGGGTTAGAAACACCAGCAGATATGGAGAGGAAGCCAGAGAAGAAGTGATGGGGAAAAAAAGAAAGAAGTTTTAGTATTGTTTAAGAGGAAAGACAGATTCACAGCATACCAGTATTTGTATAACAGTGGCTACATGGCAGGTTCCAGCAAATACTTTCAGCATAGGGTCTAAGGACTCCAGACATTTGCTTGTATGTCATCTGACTTGAGTTGGCTTTGATCACAGTGGATTTATATTTGTGACTGATCACCACACCATTAGTACATCAAAAAATAGCTTACATTTTGCAGATAAGAGTTTAGACCTTCTCAACTCATTTTACACATAATTTTTCTGATAATAAGAGAATAATAAAAATATATCATTTTAGATATTTTTATTTTGAAAGATTTGTAGCTAAGGTTTCTGTATAATGTATGTGGGTAAGCTCTGGTCCCTTATGGAATGCAAATCAAGATTATATTATTTTATACCTCAGTTATCTTTGCATTACCATAACTATGAAGGGATAATGCATATGGCTAGGAGTATCTATCCAGCTAAGCTAAGCATGAAAAGAAAAGTGTTAGTAAAATAAATGTTATGTTATCTCATAGTCACTGGTAACTCAGAATACAAAGCAATTTTACTCTGTGAATGAAAGTATCAGAGAAATATGAGTAGGAAAACCCTGGGGTGGGGCAGAGAGGAAAAAGTACACGAGTAACCATATATGGCCCTATGAAAATATCTTCAGTTGCTCTTGCAATGTGTTTTCAGAGAGCACAGAATTCTGAACTAGCAATTGGTCTTTTGGACAAAGTGAAAGTATCACCCATTTGCTTTGATGAAATTGGCCATTAGACTAACTGTTGGTTTTGAAGTTTTAAGGTCACATCATTTTTTACTGACTTAAAAATACCTTCCAAATAGGTTTTTAGTCTGATGACACTTGTTAGTGAACCCTTTTTATATTGTCTTTTGGTATGTGTGAAATATATATTAACAGAGCTGTAGAGATGGCTAAGAGCACTTCTTTATCTTGCAGAGGACCTGGGTTCAGTTCCTAGCACCCATATGGTGCCTCACAACAATCTGGAACCCCAGGTCCAGAAGATCAACACCCTCTTATGATCCATGCAAGCAGCAGGCATGCATATGATACCCACATACACAAGCAGGCAAAATATTCATACATTTAAAATAAAGTAAATAAATAAATCTAAAAAAGAAATATTAGCAATTTTAGTTGTTTTCAGGAAAATGACTCATATATGACTTTTGAAATGTATAATAGTAGCACTGAAATTCATAAGCACTTAACAGCTTCCTGATACTGTCAGGATGGATGTAACTTATAACCAGTGGGTTATAAGGTTAAGAAAACAATGTTGATAGCAGAGAGTGAGGAGTATTTGTGAACAGAGAAGACCAAGGAAGGAAGAGCTAGATTGTTGATGGCAAAGCTTTTCAGAGATAATAGTGCTGGAACAGAGGAGGCAACAGTCATCATCTAGCCTAAAGACACACTGACTTCACACTGTAGCAACAAGCTCTAGCAAAACAACAGCATGAATAGCAAGGATAGTTATTTTGTAGTTTAAGTAGTTCTAGGTAGTTTAAGTATCCTCTATCATAAATGCATAGGGTCAGAAATGTTCTGGCATTTAGATATCTGGGGGATTTGGAATATTTGCATACACCTAATTCTGGAGATGGGTCCAAAATCTAAACCAGGGTTTGATTGCTTTATGTAAACTATAGGTGGTGTCATACAATATTTTCAGTGTGTCTGAATCTCAACTGCAACTGCCATGTGAGCTCAGAAATAGCATAGCCCTGGTGACAGCTTTTCAGTACTCAAAGGTTGGACTCTGTCATCTTTTGGATTTTGGAATTTGTAATTAGGACACACTCAATTTGCCTGCCACTTTTGAGAAGTCTGTCAGTTCATCCCTATTTTACACAAAGATTATTGGTAAAAATAACCCCAAATTTTAGAAATTTTAGATGTGGGCCTTTTTCAAATCATTTTCTGAATTGTGTGACTTAAAAACAAGTAATTGACAGAGTATGCCTTCTGTTTTAGTATTAAAGTATACCTTGCTTACATACATCACAGAGTATATTTCTTGTAAAATAAAGCAGGCTTACTTAAGAGAAAGTTTGTTCCTTAAATAAATGAAAATATTCAGACAAAAGAAATATAGCATGTGAATTTATTAATAATTTTATTAAATCCTAATTCTTTCATTAATTAAATATAACAGTATTCCATCACTGAGTTCATAGGTTTGATTTTTCTGGATTGCAGTTACATGTCTTGGACTCAGAATTCAGGGGGTGTTGCTCTATGCTGGACCTAAACAGTTTTAAATATAAAGCATTTTTATATTCTGTTGAATAGCAGAATCCTGTGCTGGAAAGGGAAGCCAATGGTTGATCTTCCTATGACCCTGCTCTCTCATTTGGTCTAAGAAAGCAACTGAAAAACCATTAGACTTTACCATGAGGTACAAAAATGTGAGAAGGAATAAAATATCCCCTTTCTTTATTCTCACATGAGTTCAATTACTTAAAAACAAATACATGAATCTGTTGATAAAGGGAAAAGTTATAAATTCTCATTTTAGTCCTAAGTTCTCATGTTTAAATGCCTTGAGCGGACACAAGGAAAAGTAGATCGGCATTGCACCTCGTAAAAGTGTGATCAAAATTAGCAGTTAAAGCATTCTTCAAGTTGTAAAGAATATTAGGTATTTTAGTGTCTAATTAGTCTTCTAATTGTGCAAATAAAAGAAAAAAATCTTAAATATGATAATAGAACTTTATATTGGGTTATCACTTTGGGGAATTAAAATATTACTGACTAAAGTATGCTTTTACACATCTGGGTGAGCCATTTTAAAGCTGACTTAGAAGTTTTACTATTTAGCCCATCTGTGAAGAGCTTTCTAAAAAAGAGTCCAGTGATAGTCCTTCTTGTTTAGCACATTTATTCCTAGCAATGAAGCCATTCCCCGAGTACCACCAGCCATTATCATGGTATTCAAGTGTAGATTTCCCTCCCATTTACTGTCAATTACTGTGGGCTCCCTGGCATACTTTTCATATTGTGTTTGTAACACTATCATGTGTTCTTTCAGAAGATAAAATCAAGGCCATGAGACAGGCCTAGCTAGCACCTCCATCTGCAGCTTAGCAATGAATAGATACCCTTACCATTCCATTCAGCAGTCCCTAAGATACGAATTAATAGACTTAGTCTTCACTTTCTAAGTGTAGATAATGAGGGAAAAAGTAACTGACACACAGTCTCTTGTGTAGCTATAACTTGCTTACAGCTCCTATTAATAGACTCTGGTATCATGGCCTGCATGAATCATATCAACAGAAAAAAGGTGCTCTCTAAAGAGACCCAAAATATATGGGATATAAATGCCATGTTAGAGTTTTTATAACTTTATAGACTCTGAAATAGCCAAGTTCAGGAAACATTGAGTTGTTCATAAAGACGGCATTTCTTCTTCCTGAGATAAAGGAGAGCATGGAATTTTACTGAGGCTAAGAGATGAGCAAGTTTCCTTATTATTAGGACAATAGAGCCATTGACACAGCAGGTCTGTGCTGCTGCCTCATTAGATGCTACTGGGAAGAGTGAGCTGAGAGCAGCAAGCGAGCAAACACAGCCACAGTCATTATGTAAAGACTCCCTTGCTGCTTGGTACCCTAACACACTTGTCTTCTTGCTTATAAAATGTGCAATAGAGCCATAATGGACTTCCAAGAGACACCCCGAAAAATTAATATTTATTGTAAATTATATTTGTAAACAAATGGAGCTTGCAAGTAGCTCATTCAGGAGGAGTAAAGTCTCAGAATGTAGACGCCCTACTTTGTTGTGGTTCAGGGAGGAAACAGCAGGTCGTGGGTTTATTAGCCAGTTTCTAGGCAGAGTGGAATGGAAAGTGTCCTATATAGAAGAGCATCATGGTGAGAAATGTCTTCCCTTGGGAAGGATTACTTAAGCTAAAATGTGCCACCTTAGAGAACAGGATGTTTTTATTCTTCGCCTACTTTGAGATGAGAGTACTAATTGGCATGTTTGCTTTCATCCAGTCTACTCTGATTTTACCAACACTGGATGCATTTATCTCTACTGTAACTATGATGCATTTACAAGACTTAAACATGCTGCTATAGCCTAAATCTTTAGCATTTAAAGACTTTGTGCCTAAAGTGATGCTGCCAGAGAAATCATGCGACCTTTAGGGGTTGAGTTGGCAATGTGAGAATCTCTACATCATGGAGGTTTTTCCTTGAAAGACTGAGGAGTATGTTTCTCATCTTTTCTGGTTGGCTTCCTGGCCATGAGGAACATGGGCTTTTGTGCTGTGGTACAGAGACAGTCTCCAAACACTGTGTTCAACCAATCATGAAAAGATACCTTAAAACTTTGGCCATAAATGATCCTTCGCTTCCTTCCTTCCTTCCTTCCTTCCTTCCTTCCTTCCTTCCTTCTTTCTTTCCTTTTTCCTTCTTCCTTTCTAACCATTTCAGGCATTTGTTGTAGCAGCAGAAATCTGACTGACACAAGAGCCAAGAGGGAATGGTATTGATAATAGAGTTCCTGGTGGTTCCTGTGTGTTTGCTCAAATGAGTCCTTTCTCTACTGGACACTGACTACTTCAAGGAAAAATGTGATAACAACAACAGACTTCATATCCAAGACCTTCATGACACTAGTTCAGAGTTGCTCATTTTCTATGGTATAATCTTCTTGAAATTCCTGGTAGACTTGTTTTGCTGTAAACAATTCAACCTAAGTGAACTTCTTTTCTAACAATTTGTTAACATGTCCATTGGTCAATTTCTAGCAAGATAGACAAAAACAACCCTTCTGAGCAATCATAAAATCACACACAGAACTTCTTAGTTTTTCTTTATCCTTCGTCTAACAGCTATTAACAGTTGTCTATTGTTTAGCATG